CCTCCCCCTCCTGTGGTGGGGGGGGAGTCCCCCCCCCCCCACCAGGGAACCCGCATCTCCGGGCGAAACAAACGCCCATCCCGAACACGAACGGGACCAAATTTTTCTTTTGCATCTATCACGGCCATTCGCCCGGCCCTCATTCGCGCCGGAAGGCTAGGAGAAAATTCGGGCACCCAACAGGAAGTCATGACCCGGTTCCGATTTCGAAGGAAGTGTGGTCCGACACACACTTTTGGCAGGGACCTGCGCTGCGCCCACTCCCATTCATCCGTGCTCTCGGCCCGACAAGACTTCCCGCGAGCCCGTCGACGTTCGTGCGACAGGCGGATGTTCACCCCGCGCGCTTCCACCGTCAATGCTACCAGAAACAAACAAGTCGTTTACACCAGGACACCCTCTTCTCCTCACGACAGCTTCACGCTTGCGCCCGTTGATACTTGGGGCGTGCTCTGGCACGCTGGGAAGGGAGAGGGGTGTGGGACGGCAGCCTTCGACGTCATCCCGGGCGCGTGGCCGTTTGAGAATATACCCCACGGCCAAAACTCACGTACGAAGCAGGGACCAGCAGGTGGCCAGGGAGAGACAGTCCCGCGGATCTCGTTGTCGATCACTTTCAAGAAAAAAAACGTCCTCAGGGAAGAGGGGGGGAATCATTCGTGGTGCTGGTCGGGTAAAAGGTACACTCTAGTGGAGGAGGGGCGAAGGCGTTGGGCAATGGGAGAAGTTACACGGGGGCGAATCGCAAGGAATGCAAATGAGCGAGGGAAAGGGGTTCCTTTGTGTGCGCGTGTCGCGGAAGACATCTGTAACGGCTCGGAATAGAAAGATGTTCAAAACAGCACGGGGTCTACATTCCATCACGATCGTTCCTACTCCTGAGCCAGGATGCGGCTTTGAGGCAGTGTTCATCGTCAGCGTCATGTTAGAGTCTTGTTCTGTCTTCGTCCTCGACGTGAGAAATGACTCATGGGAACAAGGCTGCGTCCCTTGCAGTTGGAGTCTCGGGTGTTTCGACCTTGACATGCAGCATACGTCAGGTGCCCCGAGCAGTCAAGGCGACCATCGGATGAAAAGAACACCCCCCAAAAAGGGCAAACAGCTGCCAGCGTCTGATCGTCTCGACTGCATGAGGTGATCGGTGATGGGATCGAGATGGAGAATTCAGCACGGCTTCGAGGCTATCATCAATCAAGCGGTTGGGCCTTTCGCTCGGAACCAAGCAGGCAGCCCAACGCAGGGAGAGAGGACTGTATTTTTGTTTCTTCACCTCCATTACATCATAGGTACGGTATCATGATTAGAACCTGCCAAACAAGACCCCCTCACGCACATGGTGCAGTGATACCTAGCTTGATTTAGCAGCTACTGGACGGTAAGGCATGACTGGATGTCTGATCGAGGTGGGCTTTGTCTGATGATTATCTGACACGAAGCCGCGTAGACAATAGCCTTGAGCAGAAGATGGGCACCAAGCTCGGGGCCAATGGGAATGGTCGGCAAGGATTCCTGTCTCAAGCTAGGGTCACACGAACACAACTGCTGGCCATCAGTGTGTGTGTGTGCATGCGTCGATCGGGATCTTCAATCAGGAGCGAAAGCTGCGAGATTAGGAGGAGTGGGATGAAGAAAAGAACATGCCGAGATGAGAATCCCAGGACAGACAATCCTATGGAGTGCAAGAGAGAGGAAGAAGCAAAATATCGTCCCCAGCGAACGGATCCGAGATCGATAGCTCGCATCAGATTACCGAAGGGGAGGAGAGCTGAAGCTAAGCAATGGACTAGCTGAGGCTGACGATGGGCTTGCCAAATGGCCCCCTCATCAAGTGCCATGCTTTGGGCAGAAAAGCCCATGCGAATTGGACTATTTTCTTTCTTTTTCCATTCTTCTTGGATGTCTTGGTCGTCGGCGGCTGGGGTCCCGGATAGTCGGTTTTCGTGCAACGACGAACTTGAACCGATGATTGCTTCGATCGGGACGCATGTCTCGTACTCTGTTTCCTGAAGACCATCAAGCGATTCTTTTTACTGGACAATTGAACCGGCTGATTGAAGGCCGAGCACACACACACACACACACACACACACACCAGTTCTCTCAATCAATTTTTTATCCTTTCTTTCTTTGCTTGTGGCTTGCTCCTTCACTGCCGGCGGTGAGGATGAAGGACCGTCATTTGGTTTCCCATATCTGGCAGGAGAGAACCACGATGCGATTTGGTGGCGCATCATGAGAAAGAGGGGGCTCTGCCAAGAAGAGGGCAGATTCGCGATGATGATGCATGGGAGGAGGCGAAAAAGAACCCCTGAAATGCCAGACAGCGAAAGGAGGAGTCTATTCCCAGGGTGACCGCACAAACCGACGACGATCTCTTGCCGCACGGAAGACGCGAGGCCGGTAGCAGCCATGCTATGCCCGGCGGCAAAAGCTCTTCCTGGCTTTATCTGCCCAGTTTGCCTGCTTCCGCTCCGTGGTGTCGGCGCGGGCCATGGATCATGACTCGAAATGGGGTCAAAGGAAGGTTGAAGATGAAGATCAAGACAACGACTTAGTCAAGGGGATGGCCGCCAAGCCCGAAGTGACCTGTGCCCTGTACCTGGAATTGACGGCAAGAATTTCACGCTGCTGTGAAGTATGGCGTCGACGGGAATGGGTTGATGGGTCAGATGGGCAAGGGCAGAGGGTGAGAGGGAGGGGGCAGGGGTGGGGGCGCTGATGGTGCTGGCTGACCGATGGTCTCTCGCTTGTCTTGGATGGAGATGGATGAGCAGCCGCAAGCGGTTGAGGCTGGTGGTGACACCTCACGACTCTCCACCCGGATCTCACCTCACCTCAGCCAGAGACGGCTCGCTACCCAAGTCTGGCCTGGCCTGGGCGCCTCTGGCAGGTGGGCGTGTCCCGATGGCGTTGAAGCTCAAGTGCTCGCAGCCGATATTGGATTTTCAGGGACAAAGGGCGGACGGAACCGATGGGCTGAGGACGGACAGACCGATGAGCAGAGGTGTGGAAGGGGGAAACACTACTGGGAGCCCGAATGTGACGAGTAGCGATGGTGGTCACGGCGGACAAGAACGGCGTTGTTTTCCCCCCTGCCGGGCCCTGATGTGGCTGGTGTGGCTTGCAGTCACTTCGGGGGGCTAGCACACTAGCATCCTAGCATCCTGGCATCGGAGCATCCTACATGTAGCATGCCCAGCGTGCGGGGGATGCAGCCTTGGCGGTGAT